AAGAAGGATTTATCTCACCACCCAAAGAAGACTTCTCCATCTCTTCCCACTCTCCATCGAAAACAGACAGTGTGTATGTGTATGTGTATGTATTTTGGAGATCAATCTTTTCAACGTGACCAGTGATGTTGTTGCATGAAATTCCTTTCCATTGACAGCAAGCTTGGCCAACCCAAGAAGAAAGCCTCCCAGAAGGATCAGTAAGATCTTGTTTAAAGTCGAGGAGAGCATGTCTCTCCTCGTCCATACATGGTTTCACACTTGGAAGTGCAACACCAAAAGAGAGTTTAATAGTGTGTGGATATGAGGAGGCCAAAAAGAGGATGAGGAAACCGTGAGTAATGTTAAGGTGATAAGTAGGGCTGAATAAGTAATTTGCAAAGCTAGCCATTATGCTGCAATGTGTTCTTTGCTTTTATGGAGCTGGCTACTAAGCACAATTAAATTTATAGGGCAAAGGAGCCTGCAAAACAATTATTGAAATCATGCCGTCCAGAAAAGATAAGATTCCAAATCTTCAACCCATTTTACAAGTTATTTGCTAGTGTTGCTCTAGCCATGCGTAAAAGTAAAAAAATATATTCCGTAGCCATGTGTACTAGATTGACTAATAGGCATCAATAAGACTAAAACCCTTGTACTCTTTTGGCACCAAAGTCTTTGATTGGTACGTGAATTTTGTTAAAAAACTAGTAGAGGCATTGAGTCACCATCCTCCTCTATTGGCCGATGACTAAGCTTATAAACTATTATACCACCAGGACTCAAGTCTTGTTTATGACATATTAATTTTTAAAATAATGAATACGCATATGAGCGACAGTTTAAACTACTCTTAATTTTGATCTCTATTCTTATGCTCCAAAGGCATTGTTCCAATAATATTAATTTTTTTGACAAAATTCATGGTTGTACCCTTCGCATAATTTCCCATACGCCTTCCCGAATATCACCAAAAGATCTATCTTAGTCATGATGCCTGCTTTCTGTATGAGCATTTTGTATTCTTGATGGAAAATTCATGGAAACATAGAAAAGAATAAAAAAGTCCAGTGGCATCGCAATTTCTTGATCTACTCAATAGCCTGCAAGTACATTGCGGATTACACGACAGTGATGGATAAAATAAATAACCCTGTTTTTTCTTTTCTTTTTTCCAATTAACATTTCCTTTACAAACGAGCCAACTTCAAGTCAATTGTCAATGCTACTAGAATCCCGAAAGATCAAAGTTGGAAGCTACGACTGATTCATATTAATACTATTTTTTTGCCGTATTTTACGCTTGATATGAATTTTCTACTTGATTTTTCAAGCTTGACGATAGTGATGAACAGATAACAATTTCTGAATCACCAAGTTTTTGAAAGGCCAAGAGCTAGCTGTCTGTTTGGTCACTGAGAAAAATGAAAGAGAGGAAAAAAAACGAAGGTTCAACTTTTAACTAGTTCGTGTTTAAAGAAGGCTTTTACAACTCAGATTCATATGTTTCTGCAATTTTAGCAAACTGTCTTTCATGCCTTGAGCATCCTGTCTTGCCTCTGTAATTCTATATCTGTCATTATAATGAAAGTTTTTGCGGAATATAAATTTGATTTTATTATAGAGAATAATGTTCCCTCCACTATTGCTGCACAATATCCGGACTTAGCTTGACTTGACCGGGATGCAGGTGTGGTATGGCGGTATGCTTTTACTAACTGCCATTTAAAATAAATAGACTAGAAACATATTCAATTTTATTTGTGGTTTCCACCTGTGACAACATGTAATAATATTTATGAAAAGATCGAATATATTAGTTATACATTACCAACATAGGGAAAAAAACTAAAACATCAAATGTTGCATCATGATACATCAAGCATTTCATCAACTGCCACAATTTTTTTTCTTTTTCTTTTCCCAATCAAGATTTCCTTTGCAGACGAGCCAACTTCAGTTCAATTGCCAATGCAACCTTATTTTTGATGTCATCAAAGAATCGAAAATAAGCATACCTCCATGACTTCTTAACAAGTAATGTGCCGCAAACACCCCAAAAGCCTACGATAAAGCCCAACACCATGCTGACATACAACCACAGCTTATCATTTCCATCTGCATTACTGTACTTTGCATTCGTAGCAGTTAAAGTTTCATCTCCAGGGCACTTTGAAAGAGGCTCTCCACACAGTAATTTGTTGCCCTCATAAATGGACGAATCATTAAGCGTCTGAAGTTGGTTGCCTGAAGGAATTCTACCAGACAAGTTGTTATAAGACAAGTTCAAGTGGGACAAGGAGGTTAAAGAAGAAAAGCTTTGAGGAATCTGTCCGAAAAGGCGATTGTTTGAGAGATCAAGAGTTTCCAGCCATCGCAAGTTTCCAATCTTTGAAGGAATGCTTCCACTTAATTGATTTCTTGACAAGTTCAGGATACTCAATGCAATGAGGCTTGTTATTTCTTCTGGGATTTCACCTTCCAAATTATTTGATGAAAGATCAATGCTTTTCACAAAGAACAGGGTTTTGTTATATACAAGTTCTCTTCCTTTTGACGTCAATGTGGTTTGCTCAAAATAGTTTTCATAGTAACTCACATTTGAAATACCAGAAACCAAAGAAGCCATATTTTTCACACACTTGGGAATGGTCCCTGAAAAGTTGTTGTGACTAAGGTCTAGGATGTCAAGCAAGGGAAGATTGCACACCTGATGGGGGACATGCCCGCTTAGAAAGTTGGATCGCAGTCGTAGGAAAAACAGCTCGGGTGCATTTGATCCTATCCATAAAGACATGTTTCCAGTTAATCTGTTGCCTCCAAGATCAATACTTCTCAGGCCAGTGCAATTTTTCCATATAGAAGAAGGAATTCTGCCCCCAAAATTGTTATCGTTCAGCTTTAATACAAGAAGTGACCTTGGGACTCCCATTGAACTTGGGATATTGCCAGATAGATTGTTGTGTCCAACATCTACAATCAATATTATGGGCCACAAACTCCATGCTTGTGGGAATTCTCCAAATAATTGATTGTTTCTCAGGGAAATGATAGACAAACTTTGCATGTTACAAATGCTGGGGGGAAATATGCCTTTCAACTGATTATCAGAAAGATACAATCCTTGCAGTGTGGGCATCAGTTGGTCTAGATTTAAGGGGATTGGCCCTGAAAATGAATTGCTTTCAAGATTAAGGATGGAGGCATTAGCTGACAAGAGTGGGAGTGGACCTTCAATCTGATTATGACTCAAATCAATATGATATAAATTTGGACATTTTAATAGGAGAGGAAGCCTCCCACTGATTTGATTGTAAGACAAATCCAAATATTTGAGTTGCGAAGATATCTTCAAGAACCACTCTTCTGGTATGGCATCCGAGATTCCAGTACTATGAAGGGTAACATCGAATAATTCAGTTTGAGATTGAAGCCATACAGGAAAGGCAGGACCCACACTGCAATTTGTAATGCCAATTGTGTAGAGCTTGAAAGGAGGAAGCCACTCATAAGTAATATTGAAAATGAGCGACATAGGTCGATATGTGGACACATCGATAGATCGTAATCTTGTCAGATTCATGAAATGAGATTCTGTTAAAATGCCTTCCCATGAATTCCCATACAAGGCTAGGTGAACTAGCTCAGACAGTTGTCCCAAACTTTATCTGGAATTAATCCCCAAAAGTAATTCGACTCAAGGTTAAGGTACTGCAACTTGTGTAACATCCCCAAGTTGGCAGGCAACTCATTTTCCAGCCTATTAGAAGACAAATCTAGTGATTCTAATACACTATCCGTACAATTTGAGAAACCACTCAAAAAAAGCCCTTGAATCCCCCCATCAAGTTCGTTGCTTTGAAGATTTAAGGTCTTTTAGCTCACACAAATTTCCAATGAGTTCGGGAATTTGACCTTCGAGGGCATTATTAGATAAATCAAGGCCTTCCAGATATTTGAGGCTTGCAAATTCACGAGGAATGTGACCAGTGAAATAATTTAGACTCAGATTGAGTTTTCTGAGGCTTGTAAGATTAGAAAACCAGCTGGGTAAGGGAGAATTGATATTATTCATTGACATATCAAGTGTCGAAAGTGAAGTGATATTTATCCTCTGCATTGAGAGTGGAATATCTGTAATTTGGCATTCAGACAAATGCAACTCTAACAGTGAAGGAAGCATGTTGACTGCATGTAGCAAACTTACTCCTGTGCTGCCAAGATCGATTCTGTTGAGATTGAGGTATTTTAAGGAAGAGAGATTAGGAAGCCAATTCAAGTTTTTGGAAGATATTTTCAACCGGAAATTTCCACTGAGGTCAAGATAGTTCAAGTTTGAGAGGTTACCGAAGTTAAGAGGAATTTGTCCAACAAAAGATGCGAAGGAGATATCAAGATGTCGCAAACTCTTAAGCTGGCCAAAGAACTTAGGAAATGGAGCCTCTTCAAAATAGTTATTAGAAAGGTCAAGTGTTTCCAAGGATGACAAGTTTCCAATAAACTCTGGAATTTTAGCTGGATAAGATAAGGAGAGGTTGACTTGAGATACCTCAAACTTTTATGCAGACCAATGAACTTAGAAAGTTCCAAACTATTCCGACTTAGATCTGGGTAATATAAATGTTTCAAGCTAAGCAAGGAAGGATTTATCTTACCCTCTAAGCAAGAGTGTTGATAAGCCAACTCGTCCCGGTGATATTCAGGATCAGACCATGTTGGAAATGGATATGTATTCCGAAGGTCCAACTTTGCAACATGACCTATGCGGTTGTTGCATGTTATCCCATTCCATAGACAGCAATCAAGACCCGCCCAAGAGGAAAGCCGACCGGAAGGATCAGTTACATCTTTTTTGAAGCTCAGAAGTGCCTGCCTTTCTTCCTCCATGCATGATTTCACACTGCCTGGAAGTCCATCGACCAAACAGAGTTTAGTAGTGCTCTGCAGATATGAAGAGGCCAAAAACAAATAGAGCAAATAGTGAGCAATTTTGAGATGATTGCTAGGATTGAAGTTTGCACGGCAGCTATCCATTGTACAAAGCTTTCTTTGTTGCAGATGGATACTGACTGCATGCAAAGTGAAATTACATGTAGCAGAAAGCAGCTCATAAAATTATTTTGAAGTCAATGGTGTCCAAATTCCAAGTCTTAAGCAAGTCCACCATGTCCCCACACAAGTAGTGGAGTTGATGCTTTTTCTTTGTTTACTTTTTCTGCAGATGGCCGCTGAGCACAGTAAGTAATATTCATATTAAAATTTTCCAAATTCCAAGTCTTCTTGACTTTGGTAGCCAAAGCAATAATGGTAGGATTATTGATTATAAATTTTCTTGACTGTGGTAGCCAAAGCAATAAGTTATTGTGGTTGCCAAGAAGCCTGAAATGCTACCGTGTGAGACAGGTAATGTCTTGTTCCGAGAAATTTTAACAAAAAGTGTTTGGACCTTTCTCTGCATGCAATCCTTACTCTTTAAATTTTTTTCTTTTTTTAAACACTTCATTGATAAGAGCACAATGAGAGCTTACAAAGGCTAACAATGCTTAGGAGAAACCAGGCCAACCGTGAAACAAAGCAAATGAGAGGCAGGACCTCTTAGGATTCAGAACCAAACAACAATGAAAACAAGCAGATGCCCAAATGCAGAGATCTTTTTTCCAATCCAAACATCCTTTGCAGCTGAGCCAATTTAAATGCAATTGCTAGTGATATACCTTATATTTGATGTCATCAAAAAATTGAAAATAAGTATACCTCCGTGACTTCTTTAGGAGTAATGTGCAACAAACAACCCAAAAGCCTACGACAAAGCCGAGTATCATGCTCACATAGAACCATAACACTCCATTATCATTTCCCTCTTCAATATTGTCTTTAGCTTCCTTGGTAGTGGAAGTATCATCTCCCGAAAATAAGCTTTTAAATACTGTTTTGGAGTTGTGGATCCTGAATTTTTTAGTGCAAACATGTCACACCTTCTGTACCTTCAAACTTATAATTAATTTTTATTATGATATGATTACATATTGTGGAAATTTGTCTTGAATTGAAGCCCATCAGTTTGAGCCTTTTGTTTGTGCAAAGGCCAATGGCACACAGCTTTCGCAAGTGGTTTGAAATCAGCCATACATAACATCCATCTCTTTCTCATTTGAAATGAGTGTGGCGCCACAAATTTGTGAAGGAGAGCAAATCTCTTTCTCCTGTTTTGGTTGTGGTGCTGCACCATTTGTTTAAGAGAAACAGAGGAGGCCACACTATTTTGAAGAGAAAACTCGTCTGATCACGGTGTCTTGTTTTCTGTGTAAGAGAGTGAGGTGAGCTGCTACTTTATAAGAGAATCTTCTCTGTCTTAATGTAGGTTGCTGCAATTTGAGTAAGGAGAGAGATAAGCTCTCTTTGGTTCGTTGTACAGCAGCTGCGCATTTGAGTTAATTCTCCTCTTTGGTCCCCCACAGAAACCAGGCCAATGGTTTCCAAATTCCAAGTCCTTAACACAATTTCTTGACCTTGGTTGCCAAAGCAAGTCCACCAGTGACCATCCCCACACAAGTAGTGGAGCTGAGATGGATGTAATAAATGAACGTTTTCCGAATTCCAAGTCCTCTGCCAATTTTTCAAATTTGCTAGTCCCAGTCAGCTAGGTGCCCACGTTGATACATTTTCTTGACTTCCGTAGCCAAAGCAATAATGGTAGCCTACCATTGGTAGGATTATTGGTTGGTCGCCAGAGCAATAATGTAAATTGTGGTAGCTAAAAAGCCTGCAACGTTAACATGTGAGACAGGCAATGTCTTGTTCTGAGAAATTTTAACAAAACTTTATTAATAAGAGCACAACGAGAGCTTACAAAGGCTAACAATTTCTAGGAGAAACCAGGCCGATCGTGAAACAAAGCAAAGAAACAGGGTCTCTTAGGTGCCAGAACCAAACAACAAAGGCAATCAGAAGCCCAAATGCAGAGGTTCAAACACCTCAAAACTAGCCTTTTCTTTTCCAATCAAAACATCCTTTACAAATGAGCCAATTTCAATGCAATTGTTACTGACATTTATCTTTGATGTCGTCGAAAAATTGAAAATAGGCACACCTCCATGATTTCTTTAGGAGTAATGTTGGGAGGATTCCGGGATTATTTTACTACCTATAGTGTAGTACTATATATTCGTATTCTACCGGTACGTTTGCATCGCATGTTTAGGCTTCATATGAAATTTGTATTTTACATTGTAACGAAGTTTTTGAAAGGCTTAGAGCTTGATTCTCCTATTCCCAAACGGTTTCTTCATCATCTCTTCGTATTCCATGCACTGTCATTATTGTATTAATAGATAAAATTAAGGGTTTGCTGATTTTATATTTATTAATTTATTATTATTTATAATTTTATCATGATCAGTAGCTAAAATCAAAAGCACACCAACATCTTACAACAAACACGTGTTCGATACAACAAAATCAAATGAGGAACTGACTGTCCAACAAGGCCCAAATGCAGAGCCTGCAACACCTCCAAACTAAACAAACTAACCTATCTTTTCTTCTCCAATTATCAAGATTTCCTTTGCAAACGAGCCACTTTCAATGCAATTGCTAATGCCACTTTATCTTATACACCGTCAAAGAATCGAAAATAGGCATACCTCCATGATTTCTTTTGGACTAATGTTCCACAAACACCCCAAAAGCCAACAATGAAGCCAAGTCCCAAGCTCACGTAGAACCAAACCACTCCTTTATCTTCATTCTTGTCTTCTGGATCCTTATTAGGAGTAATGCTGTCATCTCCCAGGCACTTAGTTGAAGGAGGAACCCCACACAATGATGGATTGCCTGCCTTTGTAAATGGACGAATTATTCTCGAGCACTTGGAGTTGGCTGCCCGAAGGAATTCTTCCACTCAAATTGTTATAAGATAAATTTAAATGAGACAAGAAGGTTAGAGATGAAATGCTTTGGGGAATTTGTCCTGAAAGGTGGTTGTATCAGAGATCAAGAGATTCCAGCAAATGTAAGTTCCCAATCTTGGAGGGAATGCTTCCACTTAATTGATTCATCGAAAAGTTTAAAGTACCCAATCCAATGAGGCTGATTATTCCTTCAGGTATTTCACCTTCTAAATTATTTGATGAGAGATCAATGCTATATACCAAATCCAAAGTCTTGTAGTAGTCAAGATCTTGGCCTTTCGACGTCATGGTCGTATGAGCTTCATAAATTTCTGACATATTTTCATTATTGGTGAGATCACCATAGAGGAGACATGTCATATTGTTCAAACAGTCTGGACTTGTCCCTGAAAAGTTGTTGCGGCCAAGGTCTAGGATATGAAGGGAGGGAAGATAGCACAACTAACGGGGGATATGTCCACTTAAAGAGTTGGATCGCAATCGTAGCATTGACAACTGGGGCATGTTTGAATCTGTCCATGAAGGTATGTTAGTACGAAATTCGTATTGGCATTTCCTAGACTTTAGTATAGGGTGAAAATTAGTTTGTGAGGAATTGTTATTGAACGCTTTGTCACTACTCTTTCAACCCCACACTTCCGAGGCAGGCCCTGACCATATGAGAATCTTGACCTCAGGTAAATCATGACATAATCACGCATTCTTTATAGGATTCCTAGTTGGAGTTATTTTCACTCAAGTATTTTTATGTTAATCTTATTTCTAATAAGATTAGATTTTATCTCTTGAGATTACTTTCCTAGTTCAACTCTATTTTAATTGAAGTTAAAATATTATCTTTTCCTATTGTGACTTTGCACGTTGCTTACCTCTTAGTTAATTTGGTTTAAAGAGAGGCGTCATTACTTTGAGTCCAAGGTGAATCAAATCTCTTATTGATGATAGGTTGTGGTGCAATAGGAAGTTTAATATTCGTGGCCTATTGGGTTTCTCTCCCATGAGAGAGAACAAGTCTTGTATAAAAGATCATGTGCCATTCTTTTATTTGCACAGCTTTTGAGATATTTGTTTTGAGCATATAAAATTCTAAGAAAAGCTGATGTGCGTATATTTGAGATAAATCATCAAGTGTTCAATGTTTACTTGGTGATTTATCAAACACTTTAATCATTCATATTGCATTCATATGCATGTCGGTGACTCATACGGTTGAGGGCACCAAGACCGTGGTGGCGGTTTTCCTCCGGTGAGCTTGAAGCAATCGTGGCCAGTATTGCGTTCAACATAAGGAGTGTCGAAGATCATCCCGTGACAGAAGTTGAGTTACGAAGAAGTCGGTAAACATTATCTAGAATGTGTCTAGGATAAGTGTGTGAGTACTTCTTGTAATCATCGTTCTATAGTGGATTTGTGTTGGACTGAGGAGTCCCGTGGATTTTCCCCAGAGGTGGGGTTTTACCACGTAAAATAATTCTCTGCGTGTTCTTTTATTTTATGCCCAGCACGTTACAGGATTGATAAGCCATATCAATCCTGCTACCGAAGTTTATTTTTATTTATTTGATTAGAATCTTAACTTGACCTATTCACCCTCCTCGAGGCATTTTGAGTCATCCTGCAGGTATTCTCAAGGTACATTTCCAGCGAGTTGGTTGCCTCCAAGATCAATGCCCATCACAAAAGAAGAATTTTTCAAGGAAGAAGGAATTTCTCCTCGAAAATTGTTGTCATTCATCTTTAATATAAGAAGAGAACTTGGGATACCCATTGAACTGGGGATATTACCAGAAAGACCGTTGTTGGCAACATCCACAACATACATTCTGCTCCACAAACTCCATGCTTGAGGGAATTCTCCATGCAACTGATTGCTCCTCAGGGAAAGGATTGAAAGACCTTCTATGTTGCAAATAGAAGGTGGAATAGTACCATTCAAATGATTCTCTGAAAGATACAATTCTTGCAAGTTGGGAAAAAATTGGTCAACATTGGAGGGAATTGGCCCAAAAAACAAATTGCTTTCAAGACTAAGCACAGTGGCATTGGTGTACCAAATTGGGAGTGGTCCCTCAAATTGATTATGGCTCAAATCTATGAACTTTAAATTTGGAAATTTCAATTGGG